TATATATATATATATATATATATATATATATGTATATATAATATTCACTCAATCTGATTATACTGTATGTAAGTGCGAACTTGTGAAATCTATCTTGCAGCACAGGGTGAAGTCTGTATGCACATTAATGACAATTTGTGACAAATTTAATTTAATGTAATTAAAAAACTGTTATATAGTGGCACTCTAGTTTGGCAGGATTTTAAACAGCATTGTAGCTCATCCAGTGAGTGAATCCCTTCAGAGTTTTGTGAAATGTTTATTCATACAACAATTTAATTTTCTTTGGGAAACAGGTTTGATCACTGGAATAGCAGTCATGCAGTGCAGTTTGTTCTGAGACTCTTCATTAAAGAAGCAGAGAATGAGATACAGACAGGAGAGCAGATGCTGAAGCTGTTATCATCAGTCTGCAACTACAGCTCTTTTCCTTATGAAAGCACTGACAGAATTAAACAGAGTAATTTCCTGCTGGACCTTTGCTCACATGTGAAGGACTATGAGACTCAAACAGACAGGAGTTTCCTTCCAGCATTACAGTCAGTTTTCCAGTCAGCACCTGATGTCTGGATCATAGATCTCTCACAGAGAAAGAGCTCCGTCCTCCTGGAAGTGCTGAAACTTCAAACAGAGAAGAAACCAGTAGAGCTGAGAGGATGTTCAGAGGAAGAGAGTGAAATGAAGAGTTTTCTTCAGTGTCTGCTCTACATCTCGCAGCTGAGGTACCTGAACTTTTGGAGATTCACTTAACTACTTCTCAATAAATATCACTTCCCTGTATTTTGAATTGGTTTATGTAACAAATTTGGGTTCTATTAAAATATATTCTTTTTTCCCCTTTTCTTTTTGTGTAATTATCAGTTTTACATTACATTTTACATCAGTTTTACATCTTTATAAATTAATCTGATGCACTTACAAAATTGTTAATAAGAAGGAAGATTAAATTATCATACAATTACACAAGTAGAATTTCTGAGTTTTTATCTTTGTCAGATTCTGTGGTACTCTGTCTGTTTAAACAACTTTTTTCTTTGGCAAACAGGTTTGAGTATTGGAATAGCAGTCTTGCCATTCAGAGTGTTTTGAGACTGTTTATTAAAGCAGCAGAGACTGAGACACAGACAGAAGAGCAGATGCTGAAACTGTTATCATCAGTCTGTAGCTACAGCTCTTTTCCTTATGAAATGACTGACATAATTAAACAGAGTGATTTTCTGCTGGATCTTTACTCACATGTGAAGAATTTTGAGACTCAAACAGGCAGGAGTTTCCTTCCAGCATTACAGTCAGTTTTCCAGTCAGCACCTGATGTCTGGTCCGTAGATCTCTCACAGAGAAAGACCTCAATCCTCCTGGAAGTGCTGAAACTCCAAACAGAGAAGAAACCAGTAGAGCTGAGAGGATGTTCAGAGGAAGAGAGTGAAATGATGAGTTTCCTTCATTGTCTGTCCTACATCTCACAGCTGAGGTTCCTGAACTTTTGGATATTCATTTACCAACATTTCAATCAGTATCACTTCAAATCACTTTTTAAATTTGTTAATGTAACAAATATGTGTTGTTTTAAATAGAGTAGAAACTTTTTTAATGATTGGTTTTACATTGATCTTTATTCTTTCATCTGATATACTCATTAAGCTTAATAACAAAGGAAGATTAAATTTGCATACAAACACACTACTACCCTTTGAGTAGTGATTTGTTGCTAAATCATGGCATTGATGCTGGGAATGCTTGCACCTGAACCAGTGTCTGAAGCATGTGTCAAAACACTTCAATCAGTTGGCAGACAGCATGGCATGATGATTTAGCATAGCACGTCACGTCATATATCGACATCAGACTTGCACATCATCAGCTTCTTTGTCTTCAGGAGCTGCATGTCGGTTGAGCGCGTGTTTGTGAGCAAATGAATCATAAAGAGTGTGTGCGCGCTGCTTCAAGAAGGTCAGGAATTAGAGTATATAATGTCAGAGTGTATAATGTCAGTCAAAGTGTGAAATGCTGTGCCCTCACTTTATTACGAGGGACAACTCACATAAGTTGTGCGTTGTCTGCATGGGTGAGGAGCATGCACGGTCCTCGATTGTCCATTCTACACTAGATGATTGTTTTCTTACATTCTGTAGAGAACAACCTTCCCACTGCCATCTCCCATTCTTTCCAGATCTCCACACTGAGCTGTCAAGATCATGGAAGTATCTTTACTCTGTTTGAGTACATACTAATGCCACTTAAACATGCTCTATTATCGTTAGTATGTGCAGACAGGGCTACAGGGTGATGCTGAAGGTCAAAGAGATGCTCGCAGACTATCTCTTCCCTTTAGTGGCATAGTTATGGAGGAGGCCTGCCTTGTCCACCAAGCCTTGCAGAGTCCCATCGAACTTGGTGGGCAAGACTAAAAGACCTGGATTATGGCGAGGGATTAAGCCAAGAGGCAGTTTTTGGAACTTCACCGGGCCACAGATCTGGCACTCTGTGCAACACAGCAGACAGACATCAGCCATTCTATGGCTGTGATGGTGGCCACAGAGCACCAAGCATTTTAACTGACATCAAGGAGAAAGACAAGACATTTCTCCTTGATGCCCTGGTTTTGCCTTCTGGTCTGATCTACAGATAGCAGGAGGCCAAATGACAATCCAGGATGCCCTATCTGCACTCACCAAAGATCTCTCTCTGAGGCTTGTTTAGGGGTTCCCTGCCAATGCATTGTTTCAGGGCCCCAAACAGATCAATCCCATCGTAAAAAAGTATCCCTTTGTCAAATTTTGTGGCAGTGTGGCAACTTTTGCCCAATATTTCTCAGTGGGATCTAAATATTGTGAAGAAAGTTTACAGAATTGAATTTGCCTCCCGCCCACCTTGGGGTATTAGAAACGCTGGTGATTCAAGTTCCGTCCAAGTTTCTAAATCAAGAACTGAAATGTTTCTTGGCAAAGGGGGTCATAGAAAATATACCTCCTCCTAAGAGAGAAGCACACGTTTACAGAAGGTACTTCATAGTACTCAAAAAGGATGGGGTATGCATCCAATATTAGATCTGCATTGCCTGAATCTGAGGACATACAGATTTAAGATGTTAATGCTCAAGCTCATTTTGTCTTAAATTCAATCTTAGATTGGTTGTAACAATAAATATCAAGGATGCTTATTTTCATATCAAGATTGAGTCAGAGCACAGGAAGCTTCTCAGGTTAACTTTCGGGGCAAAGCTCATCAGTTTCAAAATCTTCTTAGCCTTCACAAAGTACATGGATGTTGCCTTGGCTCTTCTGCAACTTTAGGGCATTCTTGTACTCAATTACATAGATCATTGGCTTATCTTGGCCCAATCGAAGGAGTTTTCAAAACAACATTGAGATGCTGTGCTTGCTTAAATTAAGCGTTTGGGACGCAGATTGAACCTCAAGAGGAGTGTGTTTCTCCTGCTCTGAGAAGCACATTTCTTGGTGTTGTATGGGATTCTACACTGATGCAGGCACGATTGCCTCCTGCACATGTATTTGCCATCCTAACTGCCATGAGTGGCATCAGTCTAGGCCAGGAATTATCTGTCATTCACATTCAGAGGCAGCTGAGTCTCATGGCAGCAGCAGCCAGTGTTATCTCATTGGGTTTGCTGCACATGAGACCATTTCAGCTTTGGCTCAGGGTCAAGGGGTTCCATCATCACAACCATCCTTCCAGGGTAATAAGGATTACACACACAGAGGTTTCTGAACCAAGGATCAGCTCTTTGGACATGTTGACATGAAAAATCTCTATCAACAAATGCTTCTTTCTCAGGCTGGGGTGTGGTTCTCGATGGTAAACAAGGTTTTGGAGTGGCCCTCAACTTTTGTGGTACATCAGTTGCCTCAAGATTCGGGTGGTATATCTTACACTGCAACACTTTCTTAATAATTTGCAAGGCTACCATGTGTTAGTCTGCAAAGACAACACTGCAGTAGTCTCATAAATCACCAGGATGAACTGCATTCAGGTCCTCTTTTCAGACAGGCACAGTAGGTTCTTCTGGGGGCAGATATCCTGACGAGTCAGGCTCCTCTGGGGCTGGACACCATGGTACAAGTGTGGCTGAGGCTACACTTGTACACGTTTCCTTTGATAGCTCTGCTTCTGACAGTTCTAGCAAGGGTCTGCCAAGAACAAGTTCACCTGATCTTATCTCCATTCTGGCCAGCCCGAGTTTGGTTGTCAGTCAACATCTCTCTTCTGGATGGCACTCCATGTGAGGTTCCCATCTGTTTCAAGTCTTGGGGACGATCTTCCATCCCAGGCCGACGATCTAGAAGTTTTGGGCCTAGCCCCTGAAGGGTGCCAGCTAATAGACTTGCGTCTTTCAGCTGAGATCATGAATATGATTTTGAGCTTGAGGGCTCTCTACTAGACAATTTTTGCAGCAAAAGGACAAATCTTTGTGTCTTGGTATGAACAAAGACAGTCTGATCCAGTTCAGTGCCTGTTTGGTACAGAACTAGAGTTCCTCAAAGTGAGGTTCTGCTATTCACCCTATACTATGTCAACCATTTTTGTAAAGTAAATTTGCTTGGTTTTCAAAAGGAAATGTATTATGTGTATGCATAATTTTTTTTTAGGAATTACGTCAAGACAAGACCAGATTTAGTCTTCAAAAACACTTTTTGCAAAAGGTACATCTTGAAAAGGGGGGGGGGGGTTATCTTATAATCAGGGTCATCTTATATTCAGAACAATACGGTATATTCCTAAGGTGCCTTCTGCTATTGGTCAGACTACAAGACGCCACATTGCATTCCCACACCTCGGTCAGGCCTGTGTGTCTTCCTCAGACAATTAGAATCTGATGATGTGCATTTCTTTCTATTAATGATTTCAGTGATGTGGTATGGTACGTCATGTCATGCTCTCAGCCAATTAATTGCCGTGTTTTGGAACATGCTTCAGACACCGGTTCATGTGGAAGCATTCCCATAGCATCAATGCCATGACGGAGCATCTTGTTTTCTTCTTAGGGAACCGGATTAGATAGGTAACCTAGATGTTTTCATCGTTGTATAACATTTTTTTCATTGGGAAACAGGTTTGATCACTGGAACAACAATCATGCAGTGCAGTTTGTTCTGAAAGTCTTCATTAAAGCAGCAGAGACTGAGACACAGACAGGAGAGCAGATGCTGAAACTGTTAACAACAGTCTGTACCTACAGCTCTTTTCCATATCAGTGGTCTGATAGAATTAAACAGAGTGATTTCCTGCTGGACCTTTGCTCACATGTGAAGGACTATGAGACTCAAACAGGCAGGAGTTTCCTTCCAGCATTACAGTCAGTTTTCCAGTCAGCACCTGATGTCTGGATCATAGATCTCTCACAGAGAAAGAGCTCCATCCTCCTGGAAGTGCTGAAACTCCAAACAGAGAAGAAACCAGTAGAGCTGAGAGGATATTCAGAGGAAGAGAGTGAAATGATGAGTTTCCTTCCGTGTCTGCCCTACATCTCACAGCTGAGGTAAGAGAATCTTACCTCTGGCACTTCGGTCTAATTTGGTTTCAGCTCAATGACAGGGTTCAGACATTCATGCTCCATGTTTTGTCTTTTGTTGTGAGCACACAGGTTGAGTGCTAATTTCCTTACTGTGAGCTCTTGTCAGGTCTTGTGTGTTTTTGTCAAGCACCTGACTTGTGATCTGCTTCAATTGTCAGGTGCTCTTGCATTGACGTGTTTGATGTAACACATGGCTTGTCATGATTTTTATTGGCCACGTGTTCTCATCTTCATGTTTTGTCTGAGTATGTGCCTTTTACAGTATGTTGTGTTTGTTTTTATGTGCCATGTGCTCCCCTATTTGTCTTGACTCTACTGTTCTTGTAAACCACCATTTAGACCACCTCTCCTCTCTTCTTATCCTCCTAATATTCTTCTTTTTTTATTCTTCCTGTGTTCTCTGCCCTGTGCCAGAATGACTGTTTCTGTGTGGTGTTCCCCACTGTGCCCATCCCGTCTCTGTCCTCCCTTGCCTCGCCTGCCTTGTTGTGTTGGTGGATCCTGTGTTTTCCCCTTCAGTGCAATTTTTTTCTTTTTTTTTATATTTGAGTAATAAAAAAAGCCCAGTGAACTCTGTGCACATAAATACAATACTTTGTTCTTTTTTTCCAATTGTAATGGGTCATGTTAATTTTCATCATTTTAATCAAGTATTTATTGTCTTTTTCAGTTGTTCTGAGCTGTGTTTGTTAACACTAGTTAAAGTGGTCCAATACAGAGAGAATCCAGAGCTGGTGACTTTACTGTTGGAGGTTCTTAGCTTCTCCCTCAGTTTGGAAGGACATTTACCCAGCAGAACCTGCAGGTCTGTGGGGAGAGTCTTGCGTTTCTCTTCTGACAGACTCAACCTCACTCTAAAACCTAAAGCCGTCTCTCTAAAAGGAACAAGGCTTCTTTTCAGACACATCAAAAACATACACACACTCAGGTACAGACAGCATTATAAATAAACATTTCAAATGTTGATTGAGATTTGCTTATATTTAAAGTGTGCTTTTTTTCAGGCTGAGTGGTTATATGGTGGTGAGAATAGCACAGGCATTGAGGTCTATGTGGGTTCAAACTCCTGTCACTGTTTATGAACTCACACTTAACCTGAATATGGAACAGTGGTCAGAGAGGAAGCCGTCCAGGGTCCTGAGCAATTTGGCCATCATTCTGAGACTCTGGACTGTCCAGTGTTTGAACTTGACTGAATACAAGATGTTGTCTGTTTCTCTATCTGTCCTACTGTGTCACCAGGGGCCAGTGATTCTCAGGTTTGACCACAGGACAAAGTTCTGCAGTTTTTGACTTTATATTTATCATGGCATAGAAATAAAACAAAGAATTCTGTTTGTGTAGACCATCTAAAGAGACTCTCCGGAAGCTGATTGAATGTGTCTGTGAAGCTCAGGAAGAGGAACTGACTCAGTGCTTCCTGCAGAAAGTGGGTGGAGATCTGACTTCCTGTTCCTTAAGCTGGGAAGAGCTTCACTATTTCCTGCAGCACAAGATTCCACACATCACTGTGGACCTCAGAAAGAGCAACATTGAATGCAACGTCAGAAACATTTTGCCATTTTTGAACAGGATTCAATTTAAACGGTAAACCATTCTCAAAAACACTTTAGAAATGATAGAAAACCTCCAAGTGGAGATTTATTGTTTTCCTTTCTTTCTAACATAAAATCTCCAACTGAATAATAAATTATTTAAAAATAAAAAACTTGATTTATTTGCAATGATTTGTATAATGTCTTTACAGGATGAGCTCTACCTTCATGCTGTCTGTAATCAGAGGGATCTATGAGTCTGGCTCAGTTGGTTTTGTGTCCAGAGACAACTCAAGTCACTTCTTGATGTAATTGGACCAGAGCAGAGAGCTGGACTCTGATCGCTCTGCGGCCCTGCGCTTCATACTGCAGCACTGCACTGCAGTTTCACTCAATCTACAGTGGACCTCCATACCAGAGGAAGAGCTGAAGAGCATTCTGCCTCTCTTCACACATGTGTCCCACCTCAGGTCTCACTGCTTTTCACTATGGGGGATTCTCAATAGGAAGTCTGCATCATAGTGAGGCTGCATTCTTCCTATACAAGCCCCCGTGAGGCTTCTAAAATAGTACAATAGTACTCAGAGTCCTCCTGAGCATTGAAGGCTAGAATGAGAAGCTCTACAATGTGCACCTGGCAATGTCATAAAGATTTCAACCCCTTTGTCATAGCATGAAAATACAAAAATCAGTTTTGGAAAAATACTTTATATTGAAAGCCTTTTTATTAACTAACTTTCTATCAGTGCAATACAGTGAATGACAACCACCTGTGGTCTTCCAGTGGAGACAGCAGTTATCATTATGTGATTAATTTAAATCAAAAAAGAAACCATACTGCCTCTTTCTCCTGTGTTTATATATTTATTTATTTTTTGGACAAGTGAAGTACTGATTTATTTTCCGCCAATTTTTTTTCTGTAGTGGATTAGAATGTGTGCAAATGATTGTTGGAGATTGGAGGATGTGAAGAACACACTTGGAAAAACACAAAATGAAGGGTGCAAAATAAAGGCTGCTTTTCAAGGATACTTCAAAATGAGACTGCCTTTTGCTGTGCTTGAGGATGTTGCAGCCTAGATATATGCAGCTTTACTATGCAGCCTTCCAATTCATATCAACCTCCCTCTCTTTCCTGTTTCTTTGGTCTCAAGTCTGCATGTTTTTTATATATATTCAATAGCTTTTAGGTTTCATTTTAATACTATTTAACATGTATTTCAGTTATTGGAATGTATTTATGGTATTTCCTATAGAATGACTGAAACCTTTTAGACTGTGTGTAAACACAGAAATCCTTTAATGGAACCATTAAAGAACTCAGAATTAGGGATCAGAATAATTGAATTCTTTTAAGATTCTCATCCGTACTTATAAAGGCCGCTAACTATTACCTTAGTAACCTGGAGCAAAACACTTACACTAAGCTATAATTTAAAAAAAGTTTATTTAAGATGAAGGTTTGAATCTCAGGTGGTATTGATATGACCAAAATCTGTTCTGATCTAGTGTTTGTCTGTGTTCAGTGTTGACAGGCTGCTGTTACTGAGGATGCTGCACTGCTGCAGTGTCTCTGATGTCCAGCAGGAGGCAGCAGCAGTTCTGCTCTCTGTCCTGCAGCACAAGCTGGATTTCTCCTGCTGTTCTGCTCTGGATCTGACAGCAAACACAGACTCAGAGCCTCTACATCTGACCATTGAGGACTGCCATGTGACATCCAGAGTCATTCAGAGCGCTCATTCAGACACAAAGACACAGCTAATTCTGCAGGACTGTGAGATTAATACAGCTGGAATGGATCAGCTGTTTCCAGTGTTGCATTCTGTTAAACTCTGGTGAGAAACATGAAGATATACACAAACTGACTGAAATATAAATGCATTCAAATATATAGAAAACATCTATTGCTCTGTCTTTCAGCTGTGATAAATCTCTGCTGCTTCAGTTTCTGGCTCATGTGAGGCCT